TATCAGGAAGCACAACAGTGATCTCAGTGAAGTGAAAGCTAAAACTTACCCATGGTCACTTTGGGCTTCACATGCCTCTGAGTCAGCAAGCTAAAAGGAGAGTTATAAGGTGTTGGTGGGGGGAGATTGATCCAGACTACCAAGGTGAAATTGAACTACTACTCCATAATGTAGGTCGGAAAGACTATACTTGGAGTGCAGGAGCTCCCTTAAGGCAACAGAGCATAAGGTCATGGGAAAAGGAAGATTGTGGTAATGAGTTGCTTGAGGTAATTATTGAATAGTCCCATTCCCATTTCCACACCTTGATTCTTGGACCTATAAATCCTGGTGATGAGAAAAACATGTTGGATGCTAACTCAGAGTATAGACAGCCTTCTGCAGAACCTTGCCCCAGCTCTACAATGTATTTCCACGTAAATGGAGCTGTAATTGCATCTTTGGAAGCCCATTCCACCCTTCTGTCAATCCACTGCTTCTGGGCACATGGTAAGACCAATGAATTCTGTGAAAATGAGCCCATTGCTGCACTTCCTTGTCCATAAAGTATGTTCTTTGGAACATACTGGGTGGAACACCACAACACTGGATGAAGCATTCTATAAATATATGGATGGTATTTTGGCAGAAGCATTGCATACAGGGAAGACAAGTCCATACCAGAAATGTGTCTATTCCTGTAAGGACAAATATTTCTCCTTTCAGCTCTTCCCTTCTCTTGATTCCTGGTTGCCACGAAGTGAATGGATTTCCTCTTCCATGTCTTTTTACCATGCTGTTTCTAACTTGCAGTCAGCCTAACATAGTCTGAAATCCCCAAACTGTGAGCCAAATTAAACTTCTCCTTTACGTTGTGGGTGTCAGGTATTTTGTCCTAGGAACAAGAAAATTGATACTACAAGCCACAAAGAACTGAACTGTTAAAAGAAAAATAAATGTGGATGCATCACATTTCCTGAGTTCAAAGTATATGACAGAGTGACAATAATAAGAACAATGTGACATTGATTAAAAAAGAGACCAATGGAACAGAATAAAGAGCTCTGAATTGTGTTTATAATTATCTCATCTTCACAAGGGAGTTAAATACACAGTAGCAAAAGGATAGTCTGTTTAATAAATGGTGCTGGCAAATCTGGATATCCACATATATGTGAATTAAATTGGACCATTATCTCAAACCATGGACAAAAAAATTAATAAACATGGTCAGGATGTGGCTGTAATTCGTATGTCTCACTGCTGGTGGCTCTAATTTGAATGTGTGTCTTCTCGCTGATTTGAACCACTGGTGGCACACGTGTGACTGTCTCATTTGGCAGTAAAATGTGTATACCATCAGTGATTGAAGCTGGTGGGAACATTTAAGACTTAAATTTAAGACTACAAAACAACTAGCATAAACAAGAAAAATGCTGCCTTTTAAAAATTTCATTGTTAAAAAATTTTTAGTACGTTTGTACCACATAATGATTACACCCATCGTGTGGAGTTAGTATGTGTAGATGACAATTCTTATTTTAATGTAATACAAGTAGATATTAATAAAATATAAAAACATTTCTACAAAAAAATTTCATAACAAAATAGTTATAGAGTAACAATGATAAATACACTATATCATGATCTTAAAAATGCTCCTTTACAATGAGCAATGTATTTTTTTGGATACGATGTTAAAAGCATAGGCAATAATAGCAAAAATAGGTAAGTGGAATGCATCAAACAGAAGCCACTGCATAGCATAAAAAAATTAAAAAAGCACCCTACTGTGTGAGAAAATATTTACCACATATATCTGTTATGGGCTTGATACTTAAACCAAAATATGTAAAGAACTGAATATCAATAGTACAGTTCAAAATAGGCCATGGAACTGAATAGATACTTCTAAGAAGGCATGCAGGTAGCCAGTAGATATATGAAAAGGTGCTCAAAATCACTAATCATGAGGTAAGTACAAGTCAAAACTCCATTGAGATATTACTTCATACCCGTTAAACTGCTATTGTCAAAACACAATAGATAGCAGGTATTGGTAAGGATGTAGAGAAAAAGAACCTTTGTATACTGTTGGTGGAAATATAAAATGTGAAAAACTGTGGAGGTTCCTCAAAAAATTACAGGTAGAAGTATCAACAGTCCCATTTCTGAGTATACATCTAAAGGAGAGAAAATTAGTTTCTTAATATCTGTACTCCATGTTCATTGCAACAATATTCTTATTATCCAGTCTATGAAAATGTCCATCAGTGGATGAATGGATAAAGAAAATCTGATGTGTATAAAATTGGAGTATCATTCAGCCTTAAAAAGGAAATCCTGGTATTGGAGACAACATGGATGAACCTATGTTAAGTGAAACAAGCCAGACATAGAAAAATGATGCATGGTCTCACTTATGTGTGAAATCTAAAGTAGTTGAACTCATAGAAGCAAAGAGTAGATTGGTGTTCACCAGAGATTGATAGGTGGGAGAAATGGGAGGTGTTAATCAAATATAAAAAGATTTCAATTTTGCAGAATTAATACATTCTGGAGGTCTAAGGTGCAGTCTGGTGACTGTGTTGTATGCCTGAAATTTCCCAAAAAGGTAGATCTTAAGTGTTCCCATTAAACCCTAACAACAGAAACACAAATTTGTGAGGTGATGGATATATGGAAAAATAATATGAAATGCAACTTTTGGTATTTATAAAGTTTATTGAGAAAACACATTTACTTGGGTATTGCCTATAGCTGCTTTCATATTGCAAAATCAGAGTTGGATAGTTGGAACAGAAACTGTAGATGGCTTTCCAATCCAAAAATATTTACTATTTCACCATTTACAGAAAAAGCTTGTTGACTCCTGGTATAGATTATACTTACTTCATTTTCAGCATCAGAAGGAGAGAATAATGATAGATTAATTTTCAAACCTTAAAAAAAAAAATCTACCTTTTGATGTTTTTGTTGATTTGCAGAAGTCTGTACATTATCTTTTTAGGTATCGCTCCTGCCTCAGACTGGCTTCCTTCTTTCCATTTGTTACCCCACTTACATGGAAGGGGATTGTCTTTCACTGTATCCCTTATCTCTAGTGGAAAGACCACCTCAACTTTGTACTTTGCTTTACTAGGTTTACTTTTCCCAATCTGGGCCCCAATTACTATTTTCTCATCTCTCTTATATTTTCTTTCAGGTACATTTTAAAACATTTTGTCATTTTTTTTTTTACTTTCCATTGGAATTTTCACCCAAATTGCATAGTCTGTTACTAAAGAAAACAAAGTTAATTTCCAAACAACTTGTACAATATATTACAAGTTACTTTAGCAATTAAAAATTGAAGCATTAGATTAAATGTATTTTATTTTAAAAATATCTGCCAGATCATATGTTTCAGCACATTTGAAACAGTTGTTAATTTCAAAAGGAAAATGATCATTAAATTTGGTAGCTCTTAAGGACCTTGAGAAGTTAATCAGCATAATGGTACATAGACTATATTTTATAGTTGATCTCATTTTGTTAAAGTCATTGTCTTAGTCACTTTTTCGTTGCTGGGATAAAATATCTAACAGTCCCAACTTAAAGCAGGAGAGGTTTATCTTGACTCATGGTTGTTAGAGGAATCAGTCCATAGCAATTCATAGCTGGCTCCAAGGCCAGAGACACATGGAAAAAGGGTCTGGTGAAGGAAAGTTGCTCCAGTCATGGTGGCCAAGAAGCAGAGAGAAGGGAGGAACCTGGTAACAACACGCACTCTATCCAGGTCAGGCCCTTAGTGATCTACCGCTTTCAGTCAGACTCCACTGCCTAACAGCACTTTCAGCTCTGAGAGTATCATGCCCGCACGGGGCTCCCAAATCCCCACCTTTGAACACATAAAACTTTTGAGAGACATTTTAGATTCCAACCATAACAATTACTAATACCGAATTCCTTTATTTAAACTACTGTAATCTGTAAATTCATGATAATGGTCACGCATAAACTGCATCATTATACTATAAGTAAGTGAACAAATGGAATGTCACTGTCAGGCTCTGATGTAGCGAACTTTTACTCCTCTACCACTGAAGAGCTAACACACCTTTGTGAGGCTGCAGTTGTCAAATTACATACTTTTTAGAATATCTGACCTTCCTCCTCTCTACCCTCCATTCAAGTATAAATTGAAGTTCTAAATATAAATTCTTACATCATAGGGGATTATATAATTCCATACTGTTCCAATCCATCCTTAATCCCTATAGGAATTATTCCATATAACTGTAATCTTTTTAAAATATAAGATTATATTGTAAAAGCATTGATTTTGCACTTAGAATAAAATTCTGAATTTTTACCCTGATGTTTATTCAATTATTAGAAATTAGCGGTAAGAAAAGTTCTTTAAGAGCTGGGACCTAGTATATTATCAGCACCTAGAATGGTACAAAGAAGTGTCATGAATATATGTTTGATGAGTTGATATTGTATGAGTAAAAAGTAATTAAATATCTAGAGTTTCATATTTATGGTGTTAAAATTAAGACCTTATTAAAGTGAACTATTGAATTGCCTTTTTGGGTTGCCCTATACACATTTTTTTATCATTTTTGTGGATGATTTTCTTGGAAGCTCTGAGACTTCTCTGTAATTCCTGTAAACTACATTATTAATTGTTCATATTTTTTATTTTTCCTTCCTGTGTACCTTTGCTATGAACACGCAAAGGAATTAGCTTTGACATGTGGGCCATTGTCTGTTTGTTTTTGTCACTTTTACAGTCTTTGCACACCTCTTGTCAAACTGATTAAGCTGAATTTGACTGCTTCAGTGGTAAGGATCCCTATTGATGCCTGTTAGTTTGTCTCTCTAAAGTCAATTACCATTTCTACAGTTGAATTCTTAGTTTCAGGTTAAATTTTGGCAGTATATTTTTGCTTTAATCATAGACAGTTGGTAAAAGATTTTTTAAAACAAATGCTAAATACTTTGTTTCCAAAAAATGAGATAATTAACTTTTTCAGGAAGCTCATAAGATGGTGAGAGAAGCAAATGTCAAGCAGGCAACTGCAGAAAAACAGCTGAAAGAAGCACAAGGGAAAGTAAGTTTTTACTGCTTAATAATATAACATATAAATAAATGATGATGATTGTGTTAAAGATACTTCAACATCCACTAGATTTTATCCTAATTGTAAAAGTACTTTTTTTTTTTTTTACAGATTACAGAAAGGTACTATTTCACAACTAATACAAAATATCAGTGAACATTGGTGTCCATTTATATTTGAACCAAATAATTTAAAGCTTTCTAAATCACTTGCACTGTGAAAAAAGGATTATATTTATTTATTTATATTTTGGTACCAGAGATTGAACTCAGGACCTTATGCTTGCGAAGCAGGCAGCCGAACTACTGAGCTAAATCCCTCGCCCTGTAAAAAGGATTATAAAATCATACTTTAAAGTTAATATTTATTTTCTTAGTTGACTGAAAAAGATACCTAAATGTTAGTAAATTTTGCTATTTTAGGAGTGTGCTATAACTAATCATAAGTTATAGTTAGTGATTTTGAAAATTGATAATTTGACAGGGACAGGGGGAAAAAATGAGAACCAAGACCTGTCATGTAAAGGTACAAGATCCCAATAATGGATGTAACTGTACTGTATCCCTAAAATGTACCAATAAACTCAATGAGGAAAAAAAAAGAAAATTGATAATTAGAAAAATTTCATTTGATTTCATGACTAGTAGCTGAATCTGAACCACATGGAAACATCAAACACCTTGGATGCATTTTTATTAGTTTACAGGAAATATCAATTAAATTTATTATCTGTCTTTGAAGGTGTTTTACCCAAATTGCTAACATATAGTTTGGTCTGTCATAAAACTATTTAATATGTTTAACTATGTTGATTTTTTTTCCAAGATTGATGTTCTTCAAGCTGAAGTAGCTGCATTGAAGACACTTGTATTGTCCAGTTCTCCAACGTCACCTACACAAGAGCCTCTGCCAGGTGGAAAGACACCTTTTAAAAGGGGGCATACAAGAAATAAAAGTACAAGCAGTGCTATGAGTGGCAGTCATCAGGACCTCAGTGTGATACAGCCAATTGTAAAAGACTGCAAAGAGGTAACTCGTCAAGGACTGTCCCCTCTGACTCTGTTGGTACTTGTTAATTCTCATCACTGAGGTGTCAGTTGTGATTTTTGCCAGCAAAATTTTTAGTACAAAATGTGCAATATTAAGATGGGGGAGGCTTTATCTAGAGCTGGCTGCTTTCAGGGATTCTTCACTTCCCTTCTCTACCTGCCTGACCTTGGAGTACCTGCTGGAAACTTGGTAAGTTTCTTAATCTCAATTTTTTATTTAGGAAACAAACTGTCATGTCTTATATAAGGAGAGTGAGTGGCTTTAATAACTTGGTTAGTCCAAATGCTAGAGTACTGTAATAAAATATGAATATAAGAAATATGTGAAAATAAATGATTTTTATTAAAGATTAATGTATTGCTTTTTGTGTAAATTCTGAGAGAAGCAGAATTTTAAGGGAATCCTAGAGTTAATTCAGATAATTAAGCAACAAAAATAGAAATTGTAGTCTTATCATTTTGGAAGGCATAAAGGTAACAGGTTGTGTTTTGAAAGCTTAGAGTAAAAATTATGTAATTATAAAATAGCTTAAATTTTGTCATTGCATATGATGAGGAAGAATTTCCAAAGAGATTGATCAGTAATTCATGAAGCATCATTCCCTCATTTTTTCTTTAAAAGCAGTATTTTATATACTGTTGAATTAAAATCCATCATTAATTTTGAAGAAGCTGTTTGTATTTATTCAGTTAATTTTGGGCATGGAATCTAGGAATTTGTTAAATAAACAAAGTTGAATCTTATAATTGAATTGCATTTTAGTTAATAGGAAAGATGCTAATCAGAGAGAAATTCAGTACTTAGTGAAATCTGTAACAAATCTGAAATTGACATTGATAACTGCTAAATATTTAAGAAACTTTGAAAAACTTTCTGATTTTTTTGAGTAGCATTTTTTTGTGTTACCTGGGCTGGAACTTGGGACCATGTGCTTGCCACGCAGGTGCGACACCACTGAGCTAAATCCCTGGCCCTTGAGTAGCATTTTTAATTGCTTATTAAAACTTGTATTTTTGCTATAGTTTCTCAGTAGATATATAACTGTATTATCCCCCATTGTTTACACTTAAAAATTTAAATGTTTTGGGCCAGGGATTTAGCTCAGTGGTTTCGCCACTTGCCTTGTAAATGTAAGGTCCTGAGTTTGATCCCTGGTACAAAAAAAAAAAAAAAATTTATTATGGAACATTTAAGAAGTTCATTTTTAAATTTTGAAATTCTTTAAGATATGAATAGGCAGCATGTAATTTCAAAATAATAACTTTTTGCTGTCCAGAGGTATCTTAATATTTAGTTGCTTTGTAGTGTCAGAAAGTTTTATTAGACTTAGGAAACACAAACATTTGCCCTACATAATTCTAAGAATAGATATAACAATGTGAAAGAAACCAAAGTATTTCTGTCTTTCTGTAGAAAACACGATGGGACACTTAATCATGATATTAGTGACAGATTTTCTGTAAGCATTTAAAACACATGCATGTGTGTAGACACAAGTATGCATTTTGAGGCTTTGTGATCAAGCGACATAGATTTGAATTTGGACTTTTTTGCAGTGTAAACTTGGGAAAGTTACTTTCACTTAGTTCTCACTTATCTGTCAGAAGGATCATCATATCTGTCTCGCATAGCTTTGAGGATTAAATGTTTATAAAGTGCTTATGATAGTTTTTTTAAGTGACAGCTTTTAAGAAATGGTTTAAATTACTGCTGTTAAACTAGAGTTGTTCCTTAGAATTCCATTTACCTGCTTTGGGATTTATGTCCATTTTTTTTTTCAGTAAACTTTACAAAGAAGGAATTTAAAAATATTACTATTTATCTGCTAATATTCTTTATCCTTTTGCCTTTAGCTTTGACTTAAGGAATTTATGAATTGGGATGAAATAATTTTCATTGAATTTGCCATTATACATCTTAAAATCTGTAGGAAAGCTTGGGTACACTCAGACTCTTGTTACTTTCGTGTGAACTACATGCACCTTTGATTAAGCTAGCCCAGAAGCTGGTTGCAGGCTGCAGTCAGTGTGTTGTTCATAGGGTGCCCATTACATCTGGATACAGAGGTTTACAGCTGCATGAGGAGTGAGCACTCTGTGTTTGGTTGGGTAATGTGGCTGCAGCATTATAGTCCAGCAGATGGTTTGGAGCTAGGGAGGCTAAGGGAATCTAAGAATCTTTAGGGAAGAATAATTGGAGAACATTCATCATGAGGAAAAGGAAAAAAGAGAAGGAACAATTAGAGAAGTGCTTAAGAAGACAAGTGCCAGCTGTGGCTGTATTACAGATAATTCAGAGGGTAGTAAATACTGGACATCAAAATGCCAAAAATTTAGGGCTAGGGATTTAGTGCAGTGGCACTGCACCTACCTCAGAAGCGCAAGGTCCAGAGTTGAATCCCCAGTACAAAAAAGAAAAAGAAAGAAAGAAAAAAAGCGAAAAGTTTAATGGCCAATTTAGTAAACTGTAGTGTACTAATGTTTTCTTGTTTATACAGTAAGCATTTTAAAAGTTCTTTTGGGACTGCCATGAGGTAATAGCACAATATTGTCATTTTGACCCCAAACTAGATTCCACAGTTTAGCCTCAGTTTATTTGAAAATTTAATTAACTTGGCTCCATATTGCTTTTTGATTATTTTCAGGGAAGGCTTCACCAGATTTTATATTCAGTGTGTGCCTCTCTTAAGAGTAGCTTCATCATTAATTTGGGGGGACATAGTGGATACAATGAAAAGGGCAAGGTTTGGGAGTCATTTTTTTATAGAAGAAAAATGACTGTCATGTTATAATTAGGAACAGTTCAATGTATTATTTTAAGTGAGGAGTGTTGTCTTTTCAGTAGTGTTTAGATTTTATAAAAGAATTTGGTTGGGCTGGGGATTTGGCTCAGTGATTCCACTGCCTGCCTTGCAAACACAAGGGCCTGAGTTTGATCCCCGGTACCACCAAAAAAAAAAGTGTTTGATTTTATAAAGTGTTTTTATGATTGTTCTTCTTAAAACTTTTTTCATGTTTTCTTTTTTTGTTAGGCTGATTTATCTCTGTATAATGAATTCAGATCTTGGAAAGATGAGCCCACAATGGACAGAACGTGTCCTTTCTTAGACAAAATCTATCAGGAAGATATCTTTCCATGTTTAACTTTCTCAAAAAGCGAGGTAATTTTTTTCATTTTAATTGGAGCACATTTCAGTTGTTTCTGTACTTTTTAAAAACATGTTTGGTATTTTAATAGCGCTTACATCAAATACAGTGGACCCTTGACTTATGAACTCAATTCATTTGTGCGGACTGGTTGTAACTCACATTGGTTTTAAGTCAAGATTATTTCCCCATAAAAAATAATGGAAATACCTATATGCATTCTGAACCTCCCAAAGCACCCCTTAATTAACCTCTAAAGAAGGGGTTATATAATGTGCATAGTTTACCAGAAATACCAATAATTTTTCTAGTGTATTCAATAAAAAGTCATAAAATATGCCTAGTTTACAAGAAACAACACTTTTACACTGTACTTACCATTCAAGTTACACCTTTGGCTTGCATGAAGGCAGGATGAAATGGAAGGTGGTTATTGTTTGGAAAGAGAGTCCCCTCCTATAAGAACATCAGGAATCTGGCTCTCTGGTGTCCTTTCTTTCCTTGGGAGAGTCTGTAGCCCACTAGGACCTGCTTCTGGATCACTAGATTTCACCCTTTTGAGAACTAAAAGCTGATCTAAGGTTGTCTGTTTTTATCTTTTTTTTAAACCACTATTCTGTAGTATGAACTGACATTATCATTAAGCAAGTGAATGCAATGATTGGCTTTTTCTGTGTCTGGGTGAGGTTTCGGTACAAATGTTTGTAGCTCTGTCCAGGATTTCCTTTATTTCAGAAGAACATTGCTTCACTGATTGTTGATACTCCCCTGCCTCTTCAGAAAGCTTCTTATCTGTCATTCTCTGTTCCTCAGCCAGAAGTTGCTGAAGTTCCTCTACTAGTTTCTCAACATCACCACTGTCTACCTGCAAGGCTATGATCTCTGCTATAGTGACAGTGTCATCACCCACAGGGACAATTGAAGGGTGAGGCTCCTCTTCACAGCCTCCACACAGTCTTCTCTCTCTTCTGTATAATTTTAGGCCACACTTTGGTCCAGGCAGATCTCAGTATCCTTAGAAAGACATTGGCCCAGGATTTCTCAGTTTACCCCACACAGGAATGAATGTTGTCACGTTCCTTCCAGGACTTTTCTAGGGTTAAATCTGTATCTCAGAGCAGCTTGAAGCACTTTAGGAACAGTTTCTTGGTGTATAGCTTCTTAAAGTTAGCTATTACCTTCTGGCCCATAGGCTGCAGTAGAGGAGTTGTATTAGGTGGGAGGAACTTGACTGAGAGTCATGGGAATTCTTTAGCCAATTCTTCCAAATCTTGTGCGTGAGTAGGAGCATTGTCCAAGATGAGAGCCTTGACTGGTAAGCCTCTGTCCTCTAGATATTTCTTAACAATAGGACGGAAAGGGGCTGGGGATTTAGCTCAGTGGTTCTGGCACCTGCCTCGCAAGCACAAGAACCTGAGTTTGAATCCTGGTACAAAAACAAAACAAACAAACAAAAAAACCAAACAAAAAACCAATAGGACACAAAGTCTCCCTGTTCCACTCAAGAAAGAGTAATCTTGTTACTCAGGCTTTTGCCACATGATCTCCATTTAATAAATGGTGCTGCCTATTCTTCATGCCTTTATGTTTTCTGAACAGACTAGAGGGTCTCAGAGTGATAAACCAAGTGAGACTTTATCTTGAAGTCACTGCTTCTATTGGCACATAGCAATAAGGTTAGCCTATCCTTCATAGGCTTATAGCTTGGCATTTTTTTTCCCTTTCTGAGTAATATATGTTCCCCTGGGCATTTTTTTCTAGGAAAGGCCAGTTTCATCACAGTTGAAAACTTAATGAGAGCAAAAGCCAGTTCTCTATGTCATTGTTTCAAAATGGTGCTTGTAATTTTCAGCACTTTTTTTTATCAGCGCTGACTGCTTCACCATGCCTAGTTACGCTATGAACCCTCATTCTTGCTTTAAAATTGTGAAACCCCTCCTTACTGGTATGAAATGTTTCATCATTATCACTCATTGATGGATTATCCTTTATGAGATCTGTATTTATAGCCCTACCTTTTTTTTTTCACTAATTCTATACTCAGGCTATAACCTGCCATCTGCCTTTTGTTTATTCATACTAATAATAGCCTCTTTACTTCATCTAACACTGTTGATTGTGACTAATTTAAGTAACACCTTTAGTAACAGTACTTTCTTATACAAATTTTTTCTCTGTATTATTGTCCAGATGGTGCTGAATATATTAGTGAAATTAGTCACATGAATGCCTTTCTCATATTTAGCCATAGTTTTCCTTTTTTTTTTCAATTGTGATTGCTTTACCTTTCCTTTTTCCTCCTTTAGCTTCTTTTCTAGCTTTTTAGGGCCATTTTGATAGCAGTAACATCCACAGACATGTGCGTCTGAGGTCAGACTGAAATTTACATACACGTATATATGCTTTTTGGTCTTTGTTTATAACCTCACAAGTGGCCAGCATTTGGGTCATAACTTAAGACTTTGGTCATAAGTTAAAGCTAAAATTCCACCAGTTGTAACCCAAATTGTTAGTATGTGAGGTTGGTCATAATTCAAGAGTCCACTGTATTATAAAATGTCATGTGTTTTGCCATTTTCTCCATTCTGTATTAGGGTTGTAACTGTTGACATTCAGTTAATTGAATCGCTTTTTTTATTTGAGCATAGGCTCATTCACACTGAAATGTATGTTGCATTGGAGTAAAGTATAGAAACATATGGGGAGGAGAAGAGGGTTAAGACTCACAGTTCCAGGCTCACTGTAAGGGAAGTTCTTAAAAATGTTTGTTGGGTTTATCAGTACATGATGAAAAACCATATTTAGTTTCTTCATCTTTAAAATTGGAATAATAATGCCTTCTTTGCATATGTCACAGTGTCGTTAAAAGGAAAAATGAAGTAGATTAAGTAGATACAAACACTTAAAAATATAAGGCATAGTGTTTCTGTTTTAATATTTAGGTCTTTGATATATTTCAATTTTAGTTTAATGCATGGTGAGAGATATAAGTATAGTTTTAATCTTTGGCAAGTCAAAACCCATTTTTTCCAGCACCATTTATTAAAGAGCCTATCTTTCCTTCAGTGAGGGTGTTTGGCTGCTTTGTCAAAGATGAGGTGGCTAAGTATATCTGGAGTTGTTTCTCTGGTGTGAGAAACTGAAAGTGTAAATGATGGTCAAAATGTGTAATTGATAATGTGAAATAGGAAGAAAAGGACCAAAGGGGAAGAGAAGGGAAAGTGGGAGAGGTAGAGGAAAGGAAAAAATATGAGAAAAGGAAAAAACTGGAAACAAAATCTTTTGAATAGGGAGGGGAGGAAGGGTTGAAGGGAGGTAGGTAGAGGAAAGGAAAAAATATGAGAAAAGGAAAAAACTGGAAACAAAATCTTTTGAATAGGGGAGGAAGGGTTGAAGGGAGGGGGAGGGCAGGGGAATGGGAAAAAAAATAAGAACCAAGATACATCATGTAAAGGTACAAATTCCCAATGATGAATGCCATTATATTGTATATCTAAAACGTACCAATAAATTTAAGAAAAAAATAAAGCATTATAGAAGTGTAAACTCATCAAGTTTGTTCTTACATGTGAAAGGTTTATCTCCACATATCCTGTCAATTAATGTTTTAAGAAATTTAATCCTAAGAATCTTTTGTTAAATCTTTTAAGGATTTAGTTATATTACTTATAAGGATAACTGAAGATGAATAGTATAACACTTTTTTTTTTTTTTTTTTTGGTACTGGAGATTGAACTCGGGTCCTTGCGCTTGCAAGGCAGGCCACCGAACCGCTGAGCTAAATCCCTGGCCTATAACACTTTTGATATGTGAATATATGTTGTTTTTGGTGGCTCTGCAGTAGGTTTCTGGTAGGCCAGTCTTAATCTTATCAGACTGGAGAAGTTTGCTTTCTTATCTGATAATTGTTAAGTGTTACTCTGGAAACCTAATATTTTACAATTTAGCTATTTTTTGTAGACTCCTGTATACATAAGTACACATTGAGAAAATATATAACTATACTTAGTATTTATTATATAATTTATCAGTATAAAGCATTAGGGTTTTCATTTTGGGGGGTAGTATTTACATGCATGTTAATTGTAGCTAAGGGATGGACAGAAACTGGAATTAATACCTTTAATCCTCTTCTAGCTAATGAGAAAAGTTACTTCACTATGAGTGAACTGCCTTTCATAACAGTATTTGAATTATGAAATATATAAGATTACCTGATTTTTTTCATTGGCTAAAGTCAAGTTAGTGAAAATTGGGAGAATAATTTATGAAATTAGTTTTACTATTGAATATAGTTTTGATATTTTTCTGCAAGAATAGTGATCAGTTACCTTTCTTTTTAAAGTTGGCTTCAGCTGTTCTGGAGGCTGTGGAAAACAATACTCTAAGCATTGAACCAGTGGGATTACAGCCTATTCGACTTGTTAAAGCTTCTGCAGTTGAATGTGGAGGACCAAAGTAGGTTTTCACTTCTGTGGCTTGTGGAAGATGAGATTTGAAATTTTCTATGTTGCTCTTATTTAATGATTCTTTTTTCTGGGGAGAGGGTTTTAAATGTGTTTTAATTTTTTCTCAGATTTCTATTTAGAGTCTGTGCAGCCCAAAGACAAATATCCCTCCAGACAGTATGGGATATAGCATTTCAAATTTAATGTTGAGGGCTGGGGATTTAGCTCAGTGGTTCTGGAGCCTGCCTCACAATTGCAAGGACCCGAGTTCAATCCCCAGTACCACAAACAAACAAAACATTGAAAAAGAATATATGAATTATAGGAATCCAGGTAGGCTAAATATTATAAACATCACAGAATTTTTGTTTGTATTACATACGTGTATAGCTGTGCATACTGGGTATCTATAAAAATATTTCTTTCTGAGGGTTGCCATAAAAAATAGTTTGGGGAGGTACTGAGATAGACCAGATCTTGTCAAGCTTGCCAAAAAGTTTTGATGCCAAAAAGTCTTCATTAGTCCTTACCTTTCATATAGTTATTATAAAGGATTCTGTCTTTGGTAAATAATCAGTTCTATCTTTTATATATGACAGAAATTGGAAAATTGTAAATCCTCAGAGGTAAGACTGCCATATTTCATTGCAGGGCAGGCTTTTTCATCCAGTCTTATAAAGAGGAAAGACTGAAATGAATGGGATCTACAACTTGGGCAAAGGAAATGCTTTGCCTAATAATTGGGCCTTGGTTTCTGTTTAAACAAATGTCTTGGAAGGGCTGGGAATTTAGCTCATTGGCAACATGTAAACGTAAGGTCCTGGGTTCGATTCCCTGGGGATAAAAAACAAAGCAAATGACTTGGAAATCTTTTGAGGAAGCTGCATAGTGATTAAGAAGCAGATCAGTATGGAGATTGGAAAGAATGAGAAAGTTTGTAGAAAGCAATTGATTATTATCAGGGTTATTTTGAAGCTAGAAGAGATTAACTAAATAAATTTTAGTTAAAGCCCGTTGTGGTAGTACAGTTCTCTGTTTCTCATAATTTACATACATTTTCAGCAAAACAACAGAATTTGATGTTTATGTTACTGGAGCGTACTGGTCACATACTTGTTTTGTGAGCCTCACCTGGAGGTGTATCCTGTGTTACACTCACCCCCGTGACATGCCTGCATGTTCCCTCTGAACGTTCTGGAAGGGGTTTATGTTCTTAAATCCTATGCCACCCCAAAGTGGAGAATCACATGTAATAACAGCAATTTTTATACTTTCATGGCCAACATTATACCTTATTTTAAAACCGCACATGACAGTTTAATTGTAAAATTAAAATTTTGTTGTTGCAAAAGATATCACATTACCCGTATGCAAATATTAAATGATGACAAATGGGGATATTAGTGACAGTAGATTTACTTTAATGAAATAATTAATACTCTATAGGATAGATTTACAGAATAACTGACTAGTTTAAGGATATTGTGCTTGGGTTTGAAGCCAGAATCCAAGCTATCTGTAATGTATATTATATGGAAAAAACTGAAGGAACTGTCTTTTTTTTTTTTAATGAAATCTACAGTATAGCCCTGGCCAAAGCTCCTGGGGATTAGGTTATAAAGATAGTGACTATCAATAAGTGGCTCAGGGCTATAGGAATTTTGAAGAAGACAAGACTATTCCAGTTGTGATCAAGGACTCTTCTTGGAGGGAGGGAGATTTGATCAGAGTTTTTGAAGTGTGGGTGGAATTTGGATGAAGAATAATTTGGCCGGATACTTTGTCTCATGCATATATCCCAGCTCCTGGAAGGCTATCAGAGGAGGATTGAAAATTCTTTTTTTTTTTCCCCTTTTTTTTGGTATTAGGGATCGAACTCAGGGCCCTGCACTTATGAGGCTAAGCTAAATGCCATTAAGCTAAATCCTGGCTAAGGAATGAAAATTCTAACAGCCTGGGCAATTAAGCTAGGTGTGGTAGTACTCACTTGTAATCCCAGTTAGTCAGGAGGCTGAGGCAGGAGAATTACCATGAGTTCAAGGCCAGTATTGGCTATATAAAGAGTTCAAGGCCAGGCTGAACTACATAGTAACACCCTGTGTCAAAACACAGAAAACAAAACAAAACTAAAAAACAAAAACAAACAAGCAAACAAAAGCCGCTTGGGAAATTTAGTGCCATGTTCAAAAAAAAAAAAAAAAAAAAAAAAGCCCTGAGGTGCTCAATTGCAGAGCACCTCTGGGTTCCACCCCCAGTACCACAAGAAACAAACAAAAGAAAAACATGTGGTATTACTGAAGGCCTAGAAATAAAGGAAGCAAAGTGTTCAAAGGATGGTGAATGTATGGAAAAGAAGGGAGGATGTGACAATTTCAAGAAAGAAAAATTAAGTTGGGGTTGTGGGCTGAGTAAAAGAGTAAGGTGTTAAAGGTGGCAGACTGCAACAATGATTTGAAATAACTTTGGAAATTACTATGAGAAGCTGTGGCTGTGGAAAGATTAGGGGTCTAGCTTTAGACATGTTGACCTTACATGAAAATGGCAAGCAAAGATTTAAAGTGTTGAGACTAGAGCTAAGATAGTATATAGCATGTAAAAAAAATTGGAGCGAATTCAGAAGAGAGCATTAAATCCTGACCCAAAACAAAAATACATCACTTGTTTCTAAATGGTTTTAGAAATGAGATCAACCAGGTGTGGTGGCACATGCCTATAATTCTAGCACTTTGGAGGCTGAGGCAGCAGGATCACTGCAAGTTCGAGGCCAGCCTGGGCTACATAGTGAGTTCAGTGCCAGCCCGAACTCTATCTATCTATCTATCTGTCTATCTATCTATCTATCTAGAAAGGCCTTGTCTCAAAGAAAAAGAAAAAAAAATGAAATCATTTAAGAAACACTGTTATTATTTTAAAAGTATACTTAAAACTACTTCAGTAGAGTCCTTTCAAAATTACAAAACACAGTAGATGCACAAGTGTATTTATATTTCCAGAAGAATAACATAAATTAATTTTTATCAGTTTAATGCTACTTTTTCCTCTTGAGTAAATTATAATTTTGAAAATTTAAATTGAAACCTAGTTTATTCCCTCCAAGTTAGTAGTTCTTATAGATATTGTTACAGATAAAGCAATAAAGGAATCATGCTAATGAAGGAATAATGAGTCAGAATCTCTTTGAAAAGGTAAGAAGCAGTTTATAATTTGCAAATTATCCAAATAATTTATTCTCTGTATTTTCTTGATATAGTGACATATATTTCTTGTAGGTATAGCTGAAATTTTATATTCATATACTATCTCTTTATTATATAATTTAAAATGTCATATAAATTGTCACTAGCCACTCTATTATACTGAGAGTTGTTCTGATTTTTCATTGATAAAGAGTACTAGTTGTATTCAGCCAAACTCCTGACTTATGATGGTGATAGAATGTTTCAAGACCAGACAAGCCAGCTTCATCTCATGGAACAGTAGAGTGGCAGGTGGCTCATCACTTATTCAGCAGTGGCCAAATGTCTGCTGTGTCCTAGGCATATGTATGATGCCAGGCATTTTAAGATGTGCAAGATAAAGTCCTTGTCCTTAAGAGGCTTATAGCCTAATCCCAGCCAGAAAGCCCTCATACCAAGTTTTAGCTTTTGTGGTATACAGATAGAAATAATGGTATGAATGTAATGTATTCTTTATATAAAGTGTTAGGATCAATGTGTTTATAAGATGGCTTATTTCTTTTTACTTCTCCCTGTGTTCCACATTAAATGCACGTAAACCAACCAACCAACCAAAGAAGGTACCCCATCTGGAAGTTGTTATTCTGCAGCTAAGTCACCATTAGGTTCTTTTCTTCTGAGAAGTTAAAGTCCTGTGGGAAGTTGAGTGCTCTCCTTCAGCTGGTTACTCATGTAACCATCTATGGAAAACATCTAATTTCTATGTCTAGAACCATAGTTAGTGTTCGGTATTGTTTATACCAGAGGGCAGGGATTTTTCCTTCTCATCACTGTAGCTAAGCATCCAAAACAGTGCCCACTTCCTAGTAGGTTGTCAAATATTTGTTCTTACTGGATGAATAGATATTTTGTACAGAGCATAGGGGCATAAGGCTTCTAATTAAAAAAAAAAACCCTGTATTATTATTTTACAGAAAATGTGCTCTCACTGGCCAGATTAAGTCCTGTAAACACAGAATTAAACTAGGGGACTCAAGCAACTATTATTATATTTCTCCTTTTTGCAGATTTAGGGTAAGTGATTTGCCATGAGTTTTCATAAAGGTTGCTTTGGTATAAGACATTCAACTGCTCATGACATTTTTTAAACTTTTGTTCTAGATCACTTCTGTATGTAACTTTTTCACATACATTCGATATATTCAGCAAGGACTTGTAAAACAGCAGGATGGTAAGTGTTTTCATTTCTTATAAATATCTGAAGATGTAGCAAAAAGTGTAAGGACAAATAATAATGCTCAAATAAACTTCATTGTTTCTACATTTATGTTGAATTTTTCATAGTTCTAATAAAATGTGTGATGATTTGGGAATAGATAGCTTCTTTAAAAATATGGAAATGTCACAGTGAAATTCATTCATTTATACAATTAATACATATAATGAAATAATGCATTTAATCATTTTATTTGCTTTATTTTTATTTTTTTAATTTAAGCAGAACCAGTGTCTTTAATATCAGGCATAAAAACTGAAATGAATTGATAGCTACAAAGCAGTATTCCTTGAATGTGAGTGATTATTTTAAAACTGAAATAGTAGATACTACATTAGGAACAAGTTTATGCCAGTTTTATAGTTGAAGTTACAGGAGATTTTCTTGTTTATTTTTTTAATCACTGAAAATATTCTTGTACTTAAAAACTAGTAGATTCCTAGTAACTTTAAGTTACATGGACTAGTAAATCTCAATTCTATGGAAAACTAGCCTGTCAAAAATTTAGATTAACCTCTTTCAAGCTCTGGTATGTTTTTTTAAAAGTCATTTATTTAGAAATCCCATATAATTGAATTTTAATACTTATAAAAAGAGGGATAAAATCTATCTTTAATTATTGGTGAATTTCAAAATCCTGTATAACATAAAAGTAGTGTTTAAGCTTTATAATAATTTTATAACTTTATTAAAATTGAAATCTTTTTGATTACCTGACATTGGTAGATAATATGATTTAAATTGGAGAACAAGTGATTTTTGTTAAAGTGTCAAGCATATTTTTGTCTTTGTTAAAAGATCTACAGGGATATCTGAAAGACAGTTTACTTTATTAAAATAAGAATGTGCCATGAGTGATTCTGTCACTCTTGAATTTTATATTTGGTACATATCATATACTATGTGGGTATATAGTAAACAAATACTTTAAGTTTTAAATATTTTATTATCTGTGTTTTGTGGCAAAAGAATTGGGGCAACTAAATGTAAGGTAGGGTTTCTCAACTTTGCTTTAGCTTGACTATCCCTAATCTCCAAATCCAAAATATGAAACTTTTTTTAGTGCTGACATGGTGCTAAAAGTGGAAAATTCTGTACTTGACCTCATGTAATGAGTTGCAGTTATGTGGTGAGTTTAGTAAAAGCACACACTTTAAAAATATCAGGCTATATGTACAAGGGGTGATCAAAATATACAGTAAATGTTTAAATTTTAAAAAAATGTAACACAGCAAAAGATACATTACCATTAATTTCCTTGAAAAGACTCCTTCTTTCTTTGAATACACTTATCCCATCATTCTGGCTACTTTCTGAAGCGTTCTAGAAGTTCTCTTTTGTAAGTGTTTTTATGAAGTGTGGTAAAAATTTAGTGAATGCTGGTGCCATCCAAAAGAAAGACAGGCTCATACAAATATTGGGCACAGTGCAACTTCTGGCTCTTCTTCAAAGTCAAATGGCCATGGAACAAACATTTTGAACTGATGTAGGGCATCAAGGCAGCAACTGTAATATAAAGACACTCACAAAAGAACTTCCAGAACTGCTTCTAGAAGTGGTAAGACCAGTGGAATAAATATGTTCAGAGTGAGAGGAGTATTTTGAGAGCGATTAATGGTAGTGCATCTTTTGGTTAATAAATTAAGCAAAAAAGTTAAATGTTCACCATATTTTTTTATAAGGTGTATGGGAAACATAAATGAGTTTTATGTTTAAACTGAAATCCCTTATCTAAGATCTTATTATAAATATGTAACTACTCCAAAATCTGGAAAAAAAATTCCAAAATTCAAGATGCTTTTCATCCCAAACGTTTCAGATAAGGATTTCAACCTGTATTGACATTTTGAGCTGGGTAATTCTTTGTTGTAAAGGGATGTCTTGTGCACTGTAGAGTATTTAAAAACATCTTTGGCCTTTACTCACTAGATGCCATTAGCAACCCTCAAATTTGACAATAAAAAAATGAATCCAGACATTGCCAAATGTACCTTGGGGGTTGGGGAGTCCCTTGGTTAAGAACCACTTATAAATCAATGCAATATGATCACAGAATGTACCAAAGGATAGATAGATTGCAGATCATCCTTACATTTATTTTTATTTGTAATTTGAGACATACACAAAACCTTTCCATGTTATTACAAAGAATGTTACTGAGCTTTTTGGAGTTTCTCTTTGTTTTTTCCTGTTTCTCTTTCTATTAGTGTTAATGAAGAATAAAATGGTCAAGATATAGTACACTAGAGCAAGAAGACATATTTGCTAGACAGTAATTTGAATAGTGGAACATTGAGTATACTCACTTATGCATGGAACAACATTGACATTTACTCAGGACCCTGAAATGTCTGCTTTTCCTTGGGCTAACTTGATAGTCTTTTATGTATCTGACAAGTAATTGTGACAAAAATAATGAATATTGCTTATTTACTAATAAAAACTAGAATGCCCACAGTACATAGAAAAGTTTGTGTGAACTATTAAAGGGTTGTCTAGGTATTAGTACAATTAGGAAATGCCCAATTTGGTATTTCAACTAATCCACAATTTTCAGTGAAGCATTAAACATAGTTAAGATGATGAATTATGATTTATATGTCTCTTTTCTCTGTGTAGTTGATCAGATGTTTTGGGAAGTTATGCAGTTGAGAAAAGAAATGTCATTGGCAAAGCTGGGTTATTTCAAAGAGGAACTCTAATGCACTGCGTGGGACCATGCACGAACCTTCCCGAACAACTGGAAAATGGCTGAATGTTTGTGGTTACTCAATATTTATTTCCAAGAAGTGGGTCCAAGACTTTTCCCCCCTTTTACAAATTACACTGAGAAGTACTGTGATTTCTTTTCCACTGACCTATGCTGTGTTTGCTTATTCTTTAGTTAGACATGCTATAATATAAAGAATTACAGGTGTACTAGTGATTATAATTTATAGATACAAAACTCCCCTCAATAAATAAATAAATAAATGTATGTATGTATGTATGTATGTTAGATTGAATGAGTGTTTTTCTCTTCCAGCTCTAATATGGCCTTTTAGAGTCAGCAGGATATATTAAGTAGATTTCATACTTTCAGCAGACTGAGAAGCAAGGAAGAAGATTATGAATGGACAGGACTCACCTCTATTTTTATCTTTTGTATATATTGGGCTTCAAAAAAACTTGACTTTTGCTAAAAAGTTGAAAGTTACCATATTTATCATTTTGCTCTCTGTAATTTAAGTAATGCATTTTACTTTGTTATTTTTTAAAATATTTGAGATGGAAGGCAGTCATATTTTATCCCAGAGATGCAATCTTAACATATCATGATATAAGTGCTCATGATTTATGTGTATTGAGTATGATCATATCATTGGAGGCATATAAAGATAAATAAGGAGTTTGTGTTCAAGCAGATTTGAAGGGGTGTGGATTAAAAGAATAGTACAGTTGAAGTATAAAGTGACCATACAAACTGACTTGCGTGGAGAAATTATTAAAATTATTAATAAAGGCAAAGATGTTCATGGTGGAGATACAGTAAGTTATAGAAGAGCAAAAAGAAGGAATGAAATACTATTCATCTAGAGAAAAACCGCTGTTAATATTTTTAGAGAATAGCCTTTTGTTTTTCAGATACACAAAATAATGTAGTCTTTCTTTTTTAAAAGAAAAATCTTAAGTATCAAAGGTTTCCCTGTGAATAAATCTGTACATCTCAGTATATACTTTTAACTATGTTTGGAGATTAGATTATTTTTTCCTTTCTTAGTGCTGTGAGGAGTTTCCTTATGTGTACCTGTTTGAGCATTATTCAGTTATTCATGTGCATGCCTTGAAGCTAAATTGTTGGATAAGGGTATATGTATATGTATTTTAAAATGTTTGATTTATCTGGCTAGATTACCCTTCAAAAGAGTTAAACCAATTTATAATTATAGTAACAATGTGTATGAGAGAACAGGTTTTCTGAAGATGACACTTTTTTCAGACCTGCCTAGAGATTTGATCACCTTTACCTGTGGAAGATTGAGTCACCAGACTGGTTGGGAGCCCACATGCAAAAGAACCTTTGAGGATGATATGGTAGAAATCATTACTTATGACCATCTCAAGAAACTGGAATTGAATGTGAAAAGAACTTCAAACCTAGAATTTTAGGTCCTAATAAACAGTTATTGTAATGTTAGGACAAAGTAAACACATTCTCATTTGAGGCTTCACCTGATTTTCTACAAAAAAGACACACATACACTTTTGGAAAGAGTACTTAAAGAGAAATCCAGGCAGTACTAAGATTTGGAAAGAAGAGTGTAGGATGTAGTGGAGAGGTACACAGGCATCTCCGTGTCGGAGTGCTTGCCTACTATGTGTAAAATCTTGGGTTCAGTCCCCAGTATTGCCACAAAAAAGAAGAAAAAGGAAAAGTTTGTTAATAACCTGAATAAATAAAAAGCAGGACTAAAGGACAGAAAGTATATCCATAATCTTCAAAAACTAAAATTCTCTACAACATCAATATAATAGGAGTGGGCAGAGACCAGATAACATGAGGATATTTTAAACTTCTTGTTAGAAGGAAGATAGACATAAAAAATGAGATGAAAAAAAAAAATGACCATGTAGAGAAATACTGTGAAATGGAAGTAAGATGATGTAGGGCCAGGGATTTAGCTCAGTGGTGCTGCTGCCTGCCTCGCAAGCACATGGTCCTGAATTCGATCCCCAGTACCAAATAATACATGGAAATAAGATGGTATAAATGCTGAGATTAAACTTACCAGTTCATCTTGTGAACATCTAGTCAAATAGCATTAAAATATATACTTATCCACAAAACATAAGGACATGGGGAGGATGAAAATGAAAGAATGGAAAGTACCAGGAAAGCAACAGATGAACTAGTGTAGTTTCACTATTAGCAGACAAAATAGTAAAACAAAACATTAAGTATAGAGATGAGTCCTACATGATATAAATTGGATTCATGATGAAGACAGTAAACACTAGTAAATAGTGTAAGTAATTGAAATAAAATTTTAAATTCTAAGGGCTTATTAATATTAATAACAAGGTGAAAGTTATACTTCAAAGGAAATTTTATAGCTTTAAATACCTTTTTAATAGTTTAAAAATTAGTTAAGTGCCCAATTGAAGTTGTTATAGGATGGCAATAAGATACAGTAAAAGTGAAGGAAGTCAGAGTAAAAATAGAAAACAAAAGTGCATAGAGAGGCAACAAAGCTATTGGTACTAATGAAATAAACATGGAGCATACCATAAAAAATATACAGATAAGCATTGTGAGTGGAGACATATATGCTATTACCTATGGTACAGATACTGAACAGATAACAGCATACCAATAAATGAAAAGTTAAGTAGAACCATTTCTAGAAAAGTTTTGATTAAGAAGAAATCAAGGTGTGGGGATTTGGCTCAGTGGTTCTGCCTCTTGCCTCGCGAGCACAAGGGCCTACATTCAAACACCAGTACCAGTGGTGGGGGTAGCCATCAGAAGCCTGAGCAGTACTTTTACTATTAAAGGAAATTGTTAAATTTTTTTCCTACAAGACACTCTAGGTATAGATGATTTTCTAGACTTTTAAAGAATGGATTATTCTAATATCATATAAACTCTTCCAGAGAATAAAGTAAGGCACCTGCTACATCAAAGCCAACATAACCTTGGTAGTAAAGCTAAATAGGGGCAATGCCAGAAATGAAAATTATGGGTCCATTTTAGTCCTGGATCTAGTCATGACTAAGTGGTATTTTTTTCCTCTCATTGAGTTTATTGGTACATGTTAGGTATACAGTACAGTTACATTCATCATTGGGATCTTGTACCTTTACCTGACAGGTCTTGGTTCTCATTTTTTCTCCTTATCCCTGCCCTCCCTTCATCCCCTCCTCCCTTTCCTATTTACAAATACTTTATTTACATTTTTTCATTTTCTCGTGTTTTATGACTAAGCGGCATTTATCCCATTAATGCAAAAATGATATTTAGAAAATTGATGTCTGATTCACCGCATATGCAGAATAAAGTGGAAAAACCACTTGATTAGTAGATGCAGAAAAATATTTGATGAAATCATTACCCATTGAGGGGATGCATATGATCAAAATATGTCCATGTATGAAAATACATAATATTTTATAAAGTTAATATATACTAAAATATATTTTAAACAATATAAATAACAGCTCTTACTAATCTGTAAGTGGGAGAATACTTTTCAATGCAACATTGTTATCTACAAAAATTAGTAAACATCCTGGGGAGGAGAGAAATAGATACATTTTCTAGTGAAACATAATTTATCCTTACTTTTTATTTAAAATTATAATAGATTTAAAAATTGTAATGAAGGAAATAGTCTCATGATTAAAAGGAAATAGTAAAACATTATTTTCAGATGATATGATTGTCTGCATAGAAAATCTGAACAGTTTCCATCATGTTATTAGTTTAGAGAACTTAGTAAAGTAACTAAATATAAGATCAATATATAATTATAAATTATACTTTTATATACCCACTACAAGTAGTTAGAAAACCTAATTTCTGAAAAGTGCCAAATAATTTAGAAATAATTCTAAAGTGCCCAGTAATCAAATATATGCCAGAATTGTATATAGAAAGTTATAAAACTTTACTAAATAGATGCTAAGAGGACTAGAGTGATGAAATATTTAGGAGTTCAAGAAATATTTCTAAAAAACCCTCTCTGTGCCCTTCAAGCTGATTTCATGCATCTCCAAATAGATCCCAACATTTGTCCTAGAATTGATAAACACAAATATATGTGGTAGAGTAAATGAAGAAGAATTATCAAGGCTTTAATGAAAAAGAAGGGAGAATGTATCCTATTAGAAGCACTTTTTGTAAGGCTGCTGGAGTGTGTTATAAGGGGAGAAATGGACAGAATGGCCAGAGGCAGACCCCACAAGTGGCATATTTACATACTGACAGGGTGTGTGATAGATCAGTGGTAGAACTGTTCATGAAATGGAGCTAACAAGAAAAAGAAGATTGTACGTCTCACAACACACAAAACAAGTGTTTTGAATGTTTTTCAATTTCAGAACTTTTGATGAAAAAATTTAGGTGAGGTATATGTAGAAAATGTAGGTATCCATCTTGTTACTTTATTGTTGCTGGAACAAAATACCTGACACCCACAAGTTATGGGACGAAAGGTGTATTTTAGCTTACAGTTTATAGAGATTTCAGTTCATGGCTGGCTGGCTCCAGGGCAGGGCAGCATGGTGAAGGGGCATAGCAGAGGAGAAAGTTTGAGATGTGGCAGGTAGGGGCAGCTGCTGTGAACCTCCCTTTCCCTTTTATTTCATTCAGGTTATAAGCCTATTGGTTGGTGCTACCCACACCCAGGGTGAGCCTTTCTATTAGCCACATAGAACTTTGCTAAACCAATCAATAGTCTGATTTATCACACACCCTAAATCCATATTCACAAATCCTAGATCAAACCATTTCCAAAAAGCTCTACCTGTGAGCACAGGAGACTTTGAGGGAACATCTAGATAAAAGCTGTAACAGTATCTTCCTCAACTTGCTTTAAGGGCATCTTAAATTGCAGTCAGAAACTACAAAAGGTAACCATAAAAAATTAAATTGTACTATATTATAAATTAGAACTTTTCATCAAAAGACATTAAAGAAAGCCAACCTGTAACAGCCAATACTAAATTATTATATATATACAGAAGTTCTACAAACCTACAAGAACAAATTTTACAGAAATAAGGACAAAAGACTCAAAATTTTCCATAGAATTAGTACATAGGGTCTAATAA